GTGGGGGTGGATGGAAGCCACCAGTAGCAACAGGTGGAAGGGCAGCTAGAGGTGGATCCTGGGAAAATCCTGGGGCCAGTCTCTATTTCTGAGGGGCAGGAGAGCTGGGGAAGAGGCTGACACTTTCCTTCTGTCATGAGAGGAGCTATAGACGGGATGCAGGGATAAGACAGAGGCACACAGATGAGGGGTCCTGCAGACTCTGACACTTCCCATCACATCTGCCTCCATGAAGTCCCCATCAGACTGTCACTCACCTGTAAAGCTTGGGCGCTGCCCTGGGTGGCAGTGGTTGGTGGAAGCATTGAGCACCTTTCTTCCTCCTAGGTGGCCTTCACCCTGTTTTCAGGTGAGGTGACAGAGACCCCAGCAGTGAGGCAGATGTGGGGTGCTTGCAGCCTGGAGCAGCTCACGGAAGCATTGTGCAGTTCCAGGGCTCCCTTCCCTCCCAGAATTAATTCTCTTTTTCTCCCAGGACCGGTTTCCCCAGCACTGTTGATCCCACTGTAAATGAGACAGTGTTCTGAGCCTTCCACAAGGCAAGGACTCAAAGAGTATTTTCTTGTTTTAATTAGCTCTATTTGATTTTAAAAGCCCCATAATATGCTTGGTGCCCAGCGGCCTTGTGATGTGAACAAGTTATTCAAATCACTTTCAGCTGAGTTCAGTAGCAGGCGTCCCTCACTGAGCATCATGCAGCTGACCTTGATGTTCAGATGTTCAGAACGTCAACCTGGGACCCCACAGGGTCCCCTTTTCTGGACCTTCTCCCCACTCCTCATCCCCAACCCCTCTGCCTTGCAGCCTCCTGGGAGTGGATGGTGCCCCAGTATCAATGTGCACACCTGTAACACCATCCAAGGACGTTCTTCAAAGAGTTTAGCACGATGCTGCCACTGCCTGCCTGCCCATCTGTGCTTCTGGATAAGCAGAAGGGACTTTGAGCCTGTCCACAGGGTGGGGCATCGCCCAAGTCCCAGGCCCTGTTTACTCAGGTGTGCTTCTGCTCTGACTGGGGCCTTGGGCCTCAGCCTGAAGGACTCCTATACATCCACACAGCCTGGAAGTCTTGGTGGTCCTCCTGCTGGGTCACTCCAGGAGTCCCCTCTTCCTGACTCATTCTCTAGAAACCAGCTCAGACCCTCAGACCCTTTTCGTGGCCATGCTCTCTTCTAGCTGGGCTGGACAAGTGCTGAGGCCCAGCAACCCCTTTCCACAGTCAACTGGAGTTGCTTGAAGGTTAGTTCTTGCTCCTGTAACACAGGCCAGATGCTGTGCCTGATACCAGGGTCCAGAGTGTAGGACACTGGCTTGTCTATAGAGAGTATGGTTGCGGGGGGGTGGGGGGTGGGGACAAACAAATAATTAATAACAAAGTGGACCTGAGACACATGCAAGGTGCAATATTCCGAGGAGACTGAGCTGACTTCCTTTGGGAGCTGGGTAAGGGAGGAGCTGTTGGAATTGAGTCTTACAGGATGCGTAGGAGTTTGCCTGTGGCAGTAGGGACAGACTTACAATTCAGACCAAGGATCTTTGTTGGTATTATCTCTCAATGATTATAAATTCTGCCAAGCAGGCACCAGATCCTGAGAGACGATGGCAATGGTGCAACCTTCTTACTTTTGGAGATGTCTGAGACGTTGGGGCCCCTGCCATAGCTTGCATGGCACATACTAAATGTGTTTGTGGCCACTTCTCAAAGCACTGGCACTTCCAGGGGGGACTTCCTATGACAGATTGGCCTCTAGCCAGTGGCAGAGCCATTGGGGGAGGGGAGGAGGCAAAACTGGTTCTGCAGCTACCAGCCTGAGTGGGGGGGAGGGGGGAGGACAGACACCACCAGGAGGAGCCCATTTCAAGGTGGTTCTCTCGGGGGAGAGGTGGGTAAGGTGGACAGATGCCTGGGGTGGGTCTTAGGGATGTATGCCAGGTAGGGCAGAGAGGAGGAGGAGAGTTGGGGGCTCAGAGAATGACCAGGGCTGCAGTGAGGCTGTGGAACGGAAAGGATGAAGTCAGGAGCCGAGGAGCTGGGAACAGGTAGCAGGGGTCATCTTAGGGCCAGTTTCTGCCCTCTCTCTATCAGCCAGCCACCTTCTCCTCTGGGGACATCAAGTTGTCAGGAGTGGAGATCCTGTCTTCTCTTCCCCAGGCTGCCTTCCACCCCATTTGCAGGCCCATGTTATCCTGGGCCTTTCTCGTTGAGTGCCTGCTGGATGCACTGTGCATGCTGCCTTCCCTGTCATGAAGATGGGCAGAGTGGTGCTCCCAACTCCAGACTCATCCGTGCTCCGCCCTAGCCATGCCTTCTGCCTTCTGCCAACAGTCTGTCTTGGCTTTCACTGGCCTGGCCTCTTGCTCTTCTTTTCACTGCCCTGGTCACTGACCGTCCCAGGCCCAGGCTGATGGTGCAGGGGCAATTCCAGAACCTTCTGCAGAGGAGAAAGAAATCTCTGACCCGGGGAAGGGAGAAAAGCCTGCCTGGGGCAGTCCTATGATGTGTCCTTCTGCAATAGGGCTTTTGGTCATTTGTTGTGTGGACACACCTGTGCTGGGAAAAGCTGTGGCTCCCTGCCCTCCACTCCTGTACCTATCCTGGTCTGGACATTCCCTGGGAGCCCGCTGTGCTGGTGGGAAGGGGTATTCCTGCATCCTTGTTGCTCAGGGATGGGCTCACCCTGATATGTACCATACTGCCATCCTTGGCAGCCTGAGTGTTTGAAGTTCCCTCTGAGACACAGCCCTGCACTGTGAGGGCAGGTCCCTGCGCAGGAAAGCCAGGACTCCCCACTCCCTTCAGGGCTTGGCCCAGAACTCTGCATAGAGGTTTGCCAAGCCATGCTGTGGCCACCATGCCCTCTGGGGGTCAGAGCACAACAGATGGCAGCACATGACCCATTTTGGGAAGCTGTCACCTCTCCTGAGCAGGAAGCAAATGCAAGCATGAACGGTAGTCCAGGTTGGCTCTTGCCATTGCCCTGGGAGGCCACCCTGCTCTGCTGTGTGATGGGGGCACTGAGACTCAATGCCATGTCACCCCCTGCAGCCAGAAAGTGATGGAGGAGGATTGAAACCAGCCTAGGCAGGAAGATCACCTGTGGCCTCTGCCTTTGCCACCCAGTCTCCCAGGCCACTTTGACATGTTAAAAACAATAATCCTTTGTTCACATTCTTTTTTAAAATACAAAGGAATATTTTGAGCACATAACCAATGTACATAGTGAAAAATATCAAACAGTAAGAGGACACTGAAAAGGATGTACATCTCTCCCTCATCTCTTAGCCACGCCCAGGCAGCTCTGTCCCCATTCACAGGGTTGACCCTGAAAACTGAAGAAGCAGCTCATCACAGTCATTGATCTTAACAACCCAGGTCATTGAGAAAGTGTTAATTAGAGTTCATGTAATTACTTATTTTTCCCAAGGAATTGTACGTTTTTACAAAGACTTACCTCTAAGAAAGAGTAGAAAAAAGGTGTTCACAATTTAAGACGCTCTCTGTTGCACAGAGCCCTGCCTTGGGCACTCTTGCAGGTTTCTTAGGGGGAGATTCTGCAGGTGGGAGGCCAGGGCACTTTGGGGTACAGAGATGGGGATGAGCCATATGTACTTTAGGCTCGCACCAGCCGGTGTTCTGCTGGTTGTGGGCTTCTATTCGGTCCTCCTGTCTCCCAGCACTGGCCTGAGAGGCCCCTTCTCCCTCCTGTCTGGACTTACACCCTTCCTATAACATTTCCTTACCTCACATGTGCTGGGCTTAACATTCTTAGAACATGATCTGAAATCAAATGACATCAGTGGTGGCGGGAAGTCAATTAAGGCAGGGCCCTCTGGATGGGAAGCAGGCTCCTGCCCCCACCCCTGCTTCCCATCCTCTTTGGGGGCCACATGGGCTCCTCCACTCTGTGGCCCCTGTTCTGTGGCTCCTGGGCAGCACTGGCTTTAGATCAGTGTTTTTTCAACCTTTTTAAAAATCTCATGGCACACTTGAACTTACAGTCAAACTTCCACAGCACACTTACATTATGTTGATCTAAAAAATTAAAGTTTAAAAAAAAGAATATACTTACTATGCTTTGAACTTCTTCTGAAAATAATTAATGATCTTTAAAAATGTTCACAGCACTTCCTCCCTACCAGCTGAAAATCACTGCTCTGGGGACTCCCTGGAGGCTGAGGCGGAGCTCCTCTGTGGGTCAGGGTTTGTGGGCAACATTCAGGGCCTCACTGCCAGCCTGAGTAACTTTAATCCACATTCCCACACTCTTATCCCTTTTGTATCTCTTGAGCTCTGGACCATGATGTGTGCTGGTCAGGCCTCTGCCCCACTGTGCCCTCACCATTCTCTCACAAGTGCTGATACCTCCCGGGGGGTAATGTGTGCATGTTCCCTAGTGGAGGATCTTGGGGACCTTCTCCTCTAGCTTTGCAGTTTAGTGATGCGATGCTTCTTCCTCCCTTCAAAACCTTTAATGATTCCCCATGCCTGTCTGTACCAAGTCCTCATGCGTCTTCCCTTTGGAGCTGGGCCTCTGGGACAAGTCCAGATTTGCTGCCCTCCAAGGAGAATGCTGGAAGTTCTCACACCTTGGTAGAGAGCACTGAGGGAGCATGCTCACAGGCTCCTGGGCATACTCTTGGTCCTGTTGACTCACAAGGATGTGGGCCCAGTGGTCACATAGGAACTGAGGGGTGCCGTGGCCTCCCTCCAGGGGTGGGGCCAATCCTTCTGCCCCTGCCGCCCCCACAGGCCGTGCCATCAGCAGGGCTGTGCCAACTGTTGGGCAGCCCGCCCTGTCCTACTGGTGCCTAATGGGGCCGGCTGCGAGCAGGTTGGAAGGGACACCCCTTTCTTGCACAGATCTCTGAATCACTGGCTGCCTGCCTGAGGCCTAGCCGCTGGCTGGATGCTGAGTGTTTTTGGGGAGATTAATTGGCTTTCTCTCTTTCTCCTTGTCCGTCTCTGTCTCTGTCTCTCTCTATCCCATTTTCCTCCCCAGGGGGGCTTTCTCTGTGGTCCGACGCTGTGTCAAGCTCTGCACCGGCCATGAGTATGCAGCCAAGATCATCAACACCAAGAAGCTGTCGGCTAGAGGTAGGGCCTGGGGAGTGTCCGGCACAGCTGCAGTCGGGCTGCTGCAGGGACTTGGTAGGCTGGGCCCTGTGCACTGGGCCCGGGGGGCCTCCCAGGCTGGTCTGCTGCCTGGCGTACCTGGCCTGTGGCTGTACACACAGAGGGAGCAGGGTTTGTGGAGTGAACACTGTAGTGGGGGGCACAGGAGTGTCAAGCACTTGAGGGCACCTTGGGCCCAGTGGAGCCGGGGGTGGTTGGGGGCGAGTGACCTTTGCACTTTTGCTCTTAGGTTGGCTGTTCACAGAGACTACACTGCCCCAGTCTGTTGGGGTCTCTGCCCCCAGAACAGGATGGGGAGATAGTCAAGGGGGCACACTGCTGTGGTGGTCAGGAAATGTCATTGGCCCTGAGAACTGTGGGCTGGAGAAGAACTTAGTGATTCAAAGGCTTTGGGTGACCAGGTCATGCTGGGTCAGTCCCCAGGTCCAGCTCCCTGACCATGAGGGGCTGTAGGAGGATGACACTGCAGAGGGCTTAGTAGGTACACCAAGGAGTGAGCCTTGGGACAGGGGCATAAGTTCCCAACTGTCCTCCACACATTGAGAGGATCTGGGGTATGCCCCTCCCCTGCAATCCTTCGAAGGCTGGGCATGGGCCACCTGGTGTTGGTCAGAGCTGCTGGCCTCCCTTGGGCCTGGCTTGAGGTGGGGTGAGTGGGCTGGCACTGTTTTAGGGCTTGGGGCAGGAAACTTGTTTTTTCTGTGTCAAGACACAGAATTTATCTGAAGCCAGTGGTGCACAAGGTGTGCCCATGGCTAGTGCTCGTGGCCTGTGCCTGTGGGTCTCCATGGGGGACCCCAACATCCCTGCTTATCATAGACACCACAGAAAGGATATCTGGAAGGCAAAGTAGCCTTTGGGAGAGGGAGCATGTCTGTGTGTGCGTGCTCATATGCACATGTGCATGAGTGTCTCTGCAAGGTGTGTGGCTGTATGTGTTTGTATGAGTGTGTCCCTGATTGGGTTTCCAGAATGAGGCCCTCTGGCCCTTGGGCAGCAGTATTGTGACCAGTGGAGCCTGAGCAGGGTAGTGGAGCTACCTTCCCAGTTTCTGCTTGGGAAGATTCTTAGGTACTCCAGGCGCCTGGAGTGAGGCAGTTGGAGATCCTAGAGGTGGCCCCTGGCCAGGAAGACAGTGGGAAAAGGTGAGGGCCATGTGCTTTGATGAGCACTGGGATATTCAGTCAACCAGGTGGGAGACAGAAGGAGTGGCTTCTACAGTCAGGATTTCAGGAAGGATGCTCACGAAGGCTGTAGGGACCAAGCCACATAGTGAGGGCAAGAAGGAACACCAGCCTGAATGTGTCACATGGGTGGGACCGAGGCCAGTGGGGCACTGGGGACTGAGGGGCCTGGCTGTGGTCCTGGCATCTTTGCTGAGCACACAGACCTCAGAGTAGCTTTCTGCTCTCTTCCAGCTTATACCCTCTGGAAGTCATGGGCCAGTGTGGTTGTATGCAGTAGCCAAGTTGTTCCCCCAGGGGCTGCTGCTGGCCTGAGCTTGAGCACAGGATGGGCAAGCATGGGCCATGTAGCCTGTCATCCTCCAGGCCCAGGGTGCAGCTCTTGTGTGGCTCCCACCTCACAAGGACCTATACACGTCCAATTACCTCACCAATGCCCAAGCCTGCGTGCTGCCTAGCACAGCACACTTACAGCCCCAGCACTGAGGCCTGAAGGGATGCAGCCACAAAGTGATAATACTGTGCTAATGCCAGCATGGAAGTTAGCACATACTGGGTGCTTGCTGCACTCAGGAAGCTTTCACTTTCCCTGACATTCGGTGGTTGGCACTGCTGGTGACGCAGGTGTGAAATGTTCTGTGGGGTGTTGGTGCCACACAGGTAGGGGGGGTCTCTAAGGCAGGAAGAACATGAGCTTCACGTGCCTTGGAGCCTCCCAGGTGTCCTCCTGACCCTTCTCTTATCCTCCTGACCTTTCTGCTGGAACTAGTGGTTGCCATTTCCGCGTTTCGCCCTCATTTGGGTACACTGGTATTTCATCCACTTGCATAACTGAGCCTGTAAGTGGAAACGCCCTCCTAGCACGACCTGCCCCCTATTCAGGGCAACGTTCCGGGTGTGTCTTTGGGATGGACACTCTGTGGTATCCCAAGTGCAGAAAGGCTGCATCTGTCCAGCTTTGCGCTGCTCTTAACGAGGGTAGCCCCAGAACCCTTCATGGGAGAGATGCTTAGTTACATGTGAGTGAATTCAGTTGGGCACAAATGTCGCACCAGTCAATTTAATGTTTAAAGAGCCTGTCTAAATGTATTAGCCTAGGAAGCCAGAATCCATAAAAAGCTTGTGTCCCCTCCTACCTTTCTGACTATACCAGCCACCCCTGAACCTCTTTGGTCCTCAGCAGGGGCCCTAACATGTACTTCCTGAGGGGGTTCATGTGAGACCAGCACCAGGCTGGACCCCTCTCCAGACTCCAGCCCAGCTGGAAGTGCCTGCATACTATTTGGCCTCAGAGAACCACCATGGACTCTTGTCCACAGCCAAAACTACTTGGGCTTTCCCTCCTGCCCTGGACACCACACCCATGCCAGCCAGCCCATTCCAGGCAGCACTATGCTGCTGGCCTCTCCTTGCCTGAGGACCTTGCCTTGGTTTCTCCTTCTACAGCCCCGTGGTGTTGGGAACAGTACTGGATAGTCTGGGGACACCACAGAGGGAGGGTACCTACCACTTCCTTCCCACCCCTTTCATGAGGCAGAATCCTAAGTTCACCTCCCACCTTGGTCTGGGAGCTCTGTCCTGTGCCTCTGCTGTCTTGGACACACTCCCCTGTAGGGACCTTAGTTCTTCTGACCCTCCTCAGGCCTTTTGGGCATCCCTGAGTGAGGGTGCAACTGGAGAGGTGAGGGAGAGCGTCTGGGACCAGCTCTCAGTGCTTTACCACAGGGCCCCTCACCCCCAGGCAAATGCCCAGCTCCAGCCCTGACTGCCAGCTGCCTGACCCTGGCTCAATTCCTTAGCCATGGTGCACCTCAGTTTCCCCAGCCATAAAATGGCGATAAAAATAGTGTCTCCCTCAGAGGAATGTGGTGAGGGCTGCAGGCAGGAGGGCCTTAGGAAGAGCTGGAGGGGGCCATGCCCTCAGGCCCCTGACCTCTTCTCTCCACCTTGTTGTCTCCCTTCCTGCTAGACAGCTGCAACCCAGTTTAGACACTCCTGCAGTTTTCTGTCACTGTGTGGCCTGCCCAACTCGTAAGGCCCAGGGCCTCTCCTCCATGAAGCTAACATGGATCCTCCCAGCAGCAGCCGCCCAACTTGAAACTCCCCTGGCTGTGTCAGTCACTTACAGCTATTTCTCAATTGGCTATGTGTTTTTGGGGGGGACAGATGTAGCTGGTTCCTCTGACCATCTCTGAGCCCAGAGCCCGTGAATATGTGGATGAAGGCACCACCCTCCTATCTGGCCTGCTTTCTCCCTGACATGAGGTGGGCTGTGCTGCAGTGGTCACCCTGCTGTTCTGGGAGGTGAGAAGGTCATCAGTCCTGGAGCCTGGAGGGGTGATCTAGCAGCCTGCCCCACCCCTGCCCACATTTCCCCCCTTACATGAGGCTGGTGCCAGTGTGGGAGGCCTTACCTCTCCTCAGGTATCTCCACCCTTGTGCATAGCCAATAGTGTGTGTCTGTCCAGAGCCAAGGAGGCAGCCTTTGTCCCTTAAGACTCCTGGTGACAAGAACCACCAGGTAGCATGTGGCTACAGGGAGAAAGGAGCTGACACCAGACAAAGGAAAACTCAGGCTGCCCAGCAAGTGACCACCAGGCTGCTGCTGAATCACACCAGCTCACACCAAAGGCTGTAGCAGTTAAATTTTTTAAATTTAATACTTTGTTAAATAGAAGAGTGTGAAACATTCAAAGTCTGTGAATGTACTGAATAATTAGAGATTATTAAACTACTGTTAACAAAGGCAGTTAGAGGAAAATTAATTAACTGGGTATAAAGAGATTATTAAGCACACAAGTCTAGTTGTTATCTATACCCAAGTTCATTGTCAACACTGAATGGCTATCATTTTGGGGGGTTGTTTATTGTGCCTTTTTTTGGACACACTCTGTGTGGAAATGAGCAGAGGGCTGACCCTGGTTAGTTGGCCCATGTGGGGGAGATTAGCGGGGAGGGGACCTGGCCCTGGAATGGACTCCTGGCTCAGCTGGGACCTGTGTATGTTACATCAGTGGCACTCACCTCTGCCTCTGCAAACCTCCAAGGTCAGTGTGGGCTCCCAGTTTACAGAGGGGGAAAGTGAGTCTGAGAGATGCTCAGGGGCCCACAGATGTTAGTTAGCAAAGCCTGGATGTGGGGAGCTCTAGCTTTCACCTGTCTGGGGTGGGGTGAGGGTTGGGACAGTGTGGGGCTCTGGTGGGGCTCACCTCACAGGTGAGCGGTTCACTTTACAGATAGGTGGGCCTGACCTGTCCCCAGTTCCCTTTCCAGGGCACCCTGCCTCCTGGGACTTGTCTTGGAGGGCAGCCCCTGCCCAAAGATGTGATGTCTGGATGTGTCTGGGTCTTTGAGGCTGGGCATGTATCCAGGGTGGGAAGAGCAGCCAAAGAGGGGTTAGGGTCTACACCTCTAGTCTGTAGTTGCCTGGGACCTCTATACAACAGGCCCAGGTGGGGGACTCTCATCTCAGGCTTTCCTGCTGCAGCCAACCCTAAGGCTTTATGTGGGCACCCATGACCCACAGCCAGACAAGTAACCCCTACTCAGGGGATGACAAGTACCTAGTTGGCAGAAACCATGGAACTGGGTTAACAGAGGACAAGGCGCTGACCGCATTGCAGGGGCCTGGAGAACATGCCTGCAGCATCTCTTTCCCCTTCTCTCCCAGCCTGGGACCCCCTCCTCCTGCCCCAAGCCTGGAGACCCTTCCCTTCCCCAGCCTTGGGTCCCTCTCCCCTCCTCAACTGGGCATTTCTTCCCTTCCCCTGAGGACCC